CAGTTGGCCAGATAATTGTCTTCCAGATTTCTTGGCACAACCTAGTGAGCACATCCAGGTCTGCATCTGTTTGAAATATGTCAATTGGAATTCCGTCAATTTTGGGGGCCTTGGTTTTTGCCAATTCCTTCAGAGCAGCTTGAACTGACTCCTTCATCACCATTGCCTCTTGATCATATGTTGTTTCATGAAATTTTTTTGTATTAGCCAATTCTTTTTGGTACAATGACACTGTGTACTCTTTTCATCTTCTTTTGATGATTCCTAGATCATTCAATATTCTGTTCAGAGAATCCTTAACTATTGCACTTCAGGGCTTGAATTTGTTCTTTATATCCTTCAGCCTAAGAAATGCCAAGCGAGTTTGTCCCTTTGGATTTTCTTACTCCAGCTCTTTGCATATTTCATTCTAATACTTTGTTTTGTTTTCTTTTATTCAGCTCCAAAACGTCCTAATTTCTTCCCTTTGCTTTGGTTTCTTGGTGCTCTAGTGCAATATTCAGAGTCTCTTCTGACATCCATCTTGGTTTTTTTCTTCCTACTCTATCTTTGTAATGATTTTTGGATTCTTCATAGGTGATATTAGTGTACAAGTCCTCAAATCTGTTCTTGAGATGGTTTTTAAATTCAGGTGGGATAGAGCTAAGGTCAAATTTTAGTTCTTGTGCATTTGTTTTCATTCTCTTTAGCTTCAGTTTGAACTTGCATATGAATAGTTGATGGCCAGCTCCGGGGATTCTTTCCACACATGAATCGATCTGATTCCCATGTAGACCATCAGGTAAGGCCCATGTCACTGTTTGTATTACTTATATAGGGTATTTGTAATGAATAACTCTTTGTATAAAATTCTATCATTCTATCTCCAGCCTTGTTTCTGTCACCAAGTACATGCTTTCTAGCTGCTGATTCTTCTTCCCAACTTTTACATTCTAATCACTCACCATTTATTAATGCATTTTGATTATATGTTCAATTGATTTCCTACTGCAGAAGATGAAAAATCTTCTCTTTCTTCCTCTTTGGCTCTGGTTGTTGAATGATAGTGATATTAACAGGTCTTCCTTGTATATATATGGATATTACCCTGTCACTCACAACATTGTATTTCAAGATGGATCTGGAAATGGCCTTTTTAAACTATGAATACAACCATGTTTTTCCTCACTTTTTTATTTCCAGCATAGTTGATCACATGATTGTCTGATTCAAAATGCCCCATGCCAGTCCATCTTGGTTCATCAGTTCCTAGTATGACAATATTTATGCCTTCTGTTTCTTTCTTAACAATGTCCAATTTTCTTACATTAATACTTCTCACATTCCACTCTCTAATCTCTGGGGTCTGCTCACAACTGCTCTTCCTTGTGATTCCTATTACAAGGGCTCAGCCTCTGGTGCCATACCTGTTAGTCTAATCTAAGTGTGGTATTTTGTACATCGGGTTTTCAAAGTCTTGCTGTTTTGGAAGTGGATGGCCAGTCCTGCTTCCTCAACTATTTTAATTTGGATGCTCAGCTTTAGTACAATATCAGACAAATAGATTACTCAAACCTTAGTAGTGGTAAAATGCGAATTAAAAACAAGCTAAATTTACAATTTTAATGAATCAGTTGTGTTCAAAAAAGCAATCTTATACATTAATATCAGAATAGCAACAAAAAAGACCTTTTGGGAAGAAATTTATTGGGTTTTACTCAACAATAGCTAATAATAACAATTGTACAATCATTCAATATCTTTTGCTTTAAATATACTTTTATTTAAAATTCAATTTTTTTTTCAGCAAACATACCTTGTTCTTTTACTCAGAGCTGATGGCCTAGTGGCAAGAAGCTGTACTGTAATCCCAAAGGCATGTGGTTCAAATCCACTAGCAGTTCCACGGGAGTTGTTGTTGTTGTTTGCCATTGAACAAAAGGCCTGAAGCCTTTCTATAACTATTGTCGTTTCTTCAAGTTCATAGAATTTCCAGAGGCATATGGTTTTTAGGAAATGGATACCACTTCTTTTTTTTTTTTTTTAAAGCTTTTTAAATTTTATTTTTAAAGAGACAATATAGTCTGGTAACTTCTGGCCAAGAGAGTGAGAAGGAGGGAGACACCCTGGATATCCCTCCTGGTGAAGAAGTCTCTCAGGAGGGTGGGGGAGGTGGGACTGGGGAAGGGAGAGCACACTGTCTCTTTAAGAGATGGACATTGAAAACTGTACAATTAAGAACACAGGAGCAGTGTTTTCAGTTGATAATCTACAGTCACAACAAATACTCTGATAGGTGAATACTGCTCAACAGTTTATGTAGTGACTTTTGTTGGGGGGTGGGGGGTTGCTTTAGAGCTCTTTTAATGTAGGTTTTTAAATGTTTTTACTTTGAAACGAGTCTCCATTTGCACAGCACGGCAGACACACAAGAACCACAGAGCATCAAAAAGAGCACATGTGCTGGCGGGGGCCTGGCTTTCCCATTTGAAAAAGTCTGGGAGACCACAAAGGGTAAACCAAAAGTAATTACAAGAAATACTGTGCCCTTCTGGCCCCATAGGGGCCCTCTCTATCCCATGATCCCATTTGGGGGGCTAGAGGTAGGGAGAGGGGCAGCAGTTTCAAGTGCTTTGAGCCATCAAATCACATTTTACTTTGACTTGGTTGGGCAAGAAAGGAAACTTTCCTAGTGTGGGATCGGGAAGAGGCCCCAGCTACCGTTTCTGTTCTTGGTCTCTGGGGAAGCTCTTGGAGCCTACAGAGAACATGGGGGTGTGCGTGGGATGGGGATCCTGGTCCCATCCCTTTGGATTCTGAGTAACACCTGGGTGTGGGAAGGGATACCACTTCTGCTTCCACACCTGTCCTAAACTGGGACCTCCACCAAACACTGTCCACCATGGACAGCCATTATGGCATTTGACCCCTCAATTGCACAAGGTTCAGCATCACAGCAAACCCAGATTACCTCAGTACAGCAAATTGACAGAGGAGTGCTATACAACTTAGAAGAATGTTCCTCCAAAATGAAATAACACTAGGCCCTCTGAAAACCTGCCTGAGGGTCAGCTATGGATCAATTCTGACCCAACCATCAGAAACACACAAATGAGTGGTGTTCTAGAGTTACATAGCCAAATTTGTTTTCTGTTCTCAGTTCTGTGCACTGTGTAAGTGACTCTTAGTGAAGTGACGTAGGTAAGAAAAAACTTAGAAAAGTTCTTCGCACTCTTTTGCATATTTTATCTCATTCAATCTTTACAACAAGCCTGCTTGGTAGATATTATCTGTGGTCAGCACTTCAGAGTTTCAATGAAACTTGATGAAAGATTTTAAAAACAAGAGAATGAGATTGCCCTCAGGCAGTAAAACAGAATGATTCAGAAGTGAAATATGTGAAGTTGCCTGGAAGCAACAGACCTAGACTTGGTCTTGGGCCCACTAGACTGAGACTTTTGACCCTCCTGAGCAGAGGAGCGGCCTGGTAGGTTATGGTAGAAACAGGTGAGCCACATCTATCCAAGAGCCTTAGAGATTCTAGTCCTGGTGCTTGCCAGAAGTTCCCAAATTTTATTAGCCCAAAAAGCCTCAGTAAAAGATATAACACAAACTAAATGTGGGGAAGGTTTTGCACATGGCCAAGAGCATCCATTGTGAAGATGACTATCTTGAAAAAGTCTGAACTATGCTCTCCTTTTTCTGCAGCCTGAAGACACATGGATTATACCTTGTTTTCCTTGTATGACTATTTACAGGGAGCACTGAGCCTGGTCTTTAAGGCGGTGCCTGCTCTTTGCTCACTAGTCTGATGGGCCTCTGAACTTGCAAAGCTGAGTGAGGCTTAGGCTCTGCCTTGCTCTTAGGAAGAGTCAACTGGCCCTCCTCACAGCGTATCTCAGTAGAGCTCCTTTTGTCTCTGCCCTTGTCAGAGTTTTCAGATTGGGCTTGATCCAGCACAGATTGCTGATTCCCACTTCCAGTAGTTGACTTCAGCAGGTCTGGGGTGAGGTCCCTGCTTTTTCATTTCCAGGAAGTCTCCACGTGCTATTTCTGCTGCCAATCTAGGGACTGATCTTGGAGAACCCTTTCTTTGCTCTTTTATTACCATTTTGCAAATGAATACCGCCAGATTTAGAAAGATGAAATAGTTTGTCTGAGGTCTGTCACTGGCTTTCAGAATGAGATGTGGCTAAATTCCTCCTTTAACATGCCCCCTCCCACACCCCCTATGCAGACCTCATCCTATATGTGAACTATTTTAAGTGGTGCTTTTATTCACAGGCTGACACATAGTGGTCTGTTCCATTAACAGTAGAGTTGGGCCGTGATTAAGAGTTGGCTTACTCAGAGTACTGCCCTTCTATGGGGTGTTTTGAAAGGCATGGGTAAGACTACAAGAGGGAAGAGTTGTTGGTGTTGTGACTCATAGCCAACCTTCCAGTAGATTTTCCAAAGCTGTAACTGAGAGATTGCCCATTTTTCTCCCTTTGAGTAGCTGCTGGATTTGAACTGCGAGCCTTTGGGTTGGCAGTACAATTCCTTACCCATTAGGTGACCAGAGGTCCTTGGAAGGAAGAGAGAGAAAAAAAAATCAAGTCTGTCTCCAGGTTTTTCTAAAGGTGACTCATATTTAAAGAGAGCTTAATAAGATATTGGAGTACAAAGGAAGTATTACTTTATACAATTAATGATGGATTTTGTTTGAAGGCAAGAGAAGATAGGAGCCACATAGACAATAGCAGTCACATAGACACACACGGGAGAATCTGATTATGTGGTTATTTATTATCGGGTTTTGAATCTGTATAGGGCAAACAATAAGCTGATGCAGTCAATTTAGAAAGGATAGGACAGAAGTGATGACAACAGACTTCATGGAGAGATTCACGGCCAAATTACAGTTAGTCACTTTAGAGAAATTAGCCTTCATCTAAAGAGATGTTGCTAAGCTACCAGGGCCATTCATTGTGTACTGTGTCATAGTTTGTCAAGCAATTCTTTATGCATTTCTTTTGCAGTAGTATCCCGTATGTCTGCTTGCCTACATTTGGATTCAAGCATATTTTGCCACTGACGAATGATGCTGAAAAATTCAATGAAATTGTGAAGAATCAAAAAATTTCTGCCAATATTGACACCCCAGAAGGTGGCTTTGATGCAATCATGCAAGCTGCTGTGTGCAAGGTATGCCGAGGGAAGTAGGTCTTAACATAAACTTATTATTTATTATTATTAAACCTAAATTTATCACTCATTGTTAAACCTAGTGTTGGTCTCGTGGGTAAAGAGCGACACTGCCAATCCAAAGACAGGCAGTTTAAAACCAGTAACTGTTCCGTAAGAGAAAGATGGGCAATCTCTTCACATTCATTGTACATAAACAGCCTCTGAAAATCTGTTGGAGGGTCAGCTGCATATCTCTTTGGACTCAACAGCACATAACAACAGTTAAAAAAAAAAGTAACTGAACGTAGCTTTTATTTAATAGCAAATTTCTACATTTGCCACTTCATTTCATTTTTAAATTCTCTAATGTGACTCTGAAAACCAGCTGGAGGGTCGCCTAAGAGTCAGTTCTGACTCGACAACACACAACAACAAAAATTATGACTTTAGTGAAAGTTCATAGAGAAGGTTGGTTTTCTATTTTAAAAATTACATACAGGGGAGCTCTGGTGGCCTAGTGGCAGAAAGCTGCACTGCAATCCCAAAGTGGTTTGAATCCACCAGATGCTCTGCTGGAGAAGGAGGAGCAATCTCCTCCTGTGCCAGTCAGATCAGATCCAATTTGACGGTACACAAGAATTTTTTTTTTAAAAAAGAAATTACATACGGTTTGGTTCATAACATTGGCTGCAATTGTGACTATGTAATAGCACTCTTCCCATTTCCTCTGTGTTTACTGTTTCTATTTGTCCTTCTTTCCTATTTCTTCCTGCCTTCTGAGCTTTAACCCTGGGTAAATGCTGCTCTTTGATTCTGTTTGGCTGGTTGTTTTAGGGTTGTAACTCCTTGTTATTGTTGGTAACTATACAGATTTATCTACTATTTACTTCAAAGTTGAACCACATAAGGCAAATTTAGTTTTAAGTAGAAAGAGTGACTAAGAGCCATACTCTTGAGGATTCCAGCAGTCTCAATGTGACCAGTAAATCTGGGTAGTTGGGTTTTTTTCTTTCTAATTTTGAGTTTTGTCCCATGTTTTTAATCCTATTCTCTTCAGGACCTCCTATTTTGATCCCTTTCAGATCAGCAGGTAGCTGGGCCCTTCTGGTTCCCTTGGTTTCAGGGTCATGGAGGCTGGCTTGTCCCTGGTCAAACCTGTCTGGAGGAGTTGTGAGGTGCCATCAAGTGAGCTGTGACTCTGAGCAACCCTAGATCTGAACATGCCCTCTCCTGGTCTACCCTTGCAGTCTCTGCTCTGCTCTAGCTCCTTGTTACACTCGATGGGAGATCTATCCTGAAGGGCTTCCTCGCTTTCACTGACCTTCCACCTTTCCCAGAATAATGTCTTTTCCAAAGCCTTCCCTCTCTCTGACCAACATGCCCAAAATATATGAGATGAAGCATCACCGTTTTTGCCTCTAAGGAGTATCCTGCGTGTACTTCCTCCAAGACAGACTTGTCTATTCTTTTGACAATTCCTGAGATACTCAGGACTCTTCTCTGATAGCACAATTCTTATTCTTCTTCTGTTATCCTTACAATGTATTTGTGGGTGTAGTCCTATATATATATAAAATATACATACTTTTGTCACTTTCAACTATTATGCATTTCCCAGCATTTGGTTCTACTTAAAATGCAAACTTTTATTACTCATACAATCTTGTTGAAGTGAGGACTGTTATTTGTCCTTAAAATTTGAATAATTTCAGATAATTGTAGTACTTTTGACCAAAAAAAGTGTTGAAACAATAATCATATATGATTAAGTTTCAAAAGATCAGAATCATGTTAATTGTGGAATTAACTATCATTAAAAAAATCAAAGGTAAATTAATGAAAAAAGTATAAGTGACACATGCATACTTCTACACATGTTTGGACATTGTTTCAGTTGTTGGTTTTAACCAATAAAATGAGCTTAGAGAGGTACACTGTCTTAATAGCAATAAGAATACTACTTTTTTTGATAAAAAGTGCCTGTTGTTGTTATGTGCCATCAAATCACTTGCTACTCCTAGCGACTCTATGTACAAGAGCACTAAACCCTGCTCTGTCTTGTGCCAGCCTCACTGTCTCTGACACACCTACTCCCATTTCCCCAATCTGAATCAATTCATCTCATCGAGGGTCTTCCTTTCCACCCTCCACCCTCCCAAGCATGACATCCTTATCCAAGGACTGGTGCCTCCTTCCAGCATGTCCAAAGTGTGTAAGGCGAAGCTTCAGAATCTTTGCCTCTAAGGAGCAGCCCAGCTTCACCCTTGCCAGGACAAACCTGTTTGTTCTCCTAGCAGTCCATGGTATGAAAATAATACACTTGTCTTCTGACAATGTGCTTTCATGGAAAATGCCAGGAAATGGGGATAGCAGAAGCTCAGAAGATGTGAGGCTACAGGAATTAGATGAATAAAAGCAAGAATGAGGTTGGAGGGTGCTGGCTGTGTGAGCTCTGTCTAGCTGGTTCCTAAACTAATAATTAAAGGTGAGTGCTTTACTAAAAAGTAGACAACAGACTAACTTAATTAATAGTGTTTGGAAGTATGTCTTGATAAGAAATTCTTATCCTTATACTTAAGTTTAATTAAAAAAAAAGCAATAGAAAGAGAACCACATGTCCAGATGTTGCATGACATTTTAATGAAATAGACTCACTCGAGTCTTGTGTGTATTACATTTTGCCTAGCTTTGCTTCAGCTTGGATTTGCTATTATATCTGGCCTCCAGCCACTTCCTCCCGTTATTTCTCTGGTGGACAGTCAAAATAATTAACTATGTAAAGTCAAGATCAACTGAATGCTGATTGTATTGGAACTATTTTTTTCCCTCTCAAACATTAATCATCTGAAAATGTTACCCAGGAAAAAGCAAATGCCACTGAATTTCATATTTTTAATATATTATCAACTAAAAAGAAATGCAAAAAATAAGCCAGCTCTACTTTTAAAAAATAATCAGGATCTTTCTAAGCATAATTAATTGACACTTGCTAAATGTCTACTAAGGTCTAATACCACTCAAGTGTTTCTTTCTCACCTCAGGAAAAGATTGGCTGGCGGAACGACTCCCTCCACCTCCTGGTTTTTGTGAGTGACGCAGATTCTCATTTTGGAATGGACAGCAAATTGGCAGGAATTGTCATTCCTAATGATGGGCTCTGTCACTTGGACAGCAAGAACGAATATTCCATGTCAACTGTTTTGGTATGTAATCTGCTCTTGGTACTACTGTTAGAATGATATGTAAGTACATGAAGCAACATTTGCTGCAGTGCAAAGCAGAATAAGCCATGCTTGGTGATGACAGGACACATCTTCTGATTTGAAATTGACAAATTCTCTCCATCTTCATCACCAGCAGAAATTCCCACAGGGAGATGGTGGGTGGTGGAGCTACTTGAGAAGTTGGATCTCTTTGGCATATGTAGTCCAGAACCTCTCAGCTTTTCAAACATCCTAGGGCCTGTGAACAACAGTATGCTCAGCTCCTTTCTCTCCCACCACCCAGAAATTGCCGGGATGGGAAGCAGTAAACATGTAGGGGGGGGGGGGCAAAGGTTATGATGCTTGAGGATGAAGGATGCTGTTGAAAAGCAAGGGAGATTTAAAATGTCAGAATCAGGAAATACTGTGTTACCTGGTATTTCTTCTAATGAAAATGCAAATGTAATAGAAGGCTTATAGAAGCCAGACTTGCAGTTGTGTAACTTGCCTGAATATTTTAGGCATTGTCTTCAACTTGAATCTAATACCTAATGAAGACAACAGACCGAAACATCCAAGAAGTGCTTAATATATGTCATACCACATAAGGGTGCAAAGGGCTTGTTTATTAGTGTCTTTGCATCTTGGAAGCTATCATACATAACCAAGATATCCTTAAATGAATCATTTGCAGTTTGTTCTTTTATTTGAGCTTGTCTTTGTACACAATGACCCATATTTGAATATAATAGACAACTTCAGAGAGTGGAGGCTATCTTTAATTTTGAAAATTGATAGTACTAACATATTTAAAGTTGTTCATAGTACTTATAAATGAACATGCCAATGAAACAGAAGTACCATAGCATGCTCAAATGTCCTCTAAACATATTACTCACTAACTTAACATTGCTTAGTTGATTTCAGTGCATAGTGGCCTTCCTCAGTTCTCCAAGGCTGTACATGTTTATGGAAGGAGACTGGTCACCTTTCCCTTGGATTCAAACCACTAAATGTATTAGTTTGACACTTAATAGACAGGAACTGTGATACTAGTGTCCTTTAAAATATAACAGAACACCATAAAACCAACTTGTGACATCAAGAGACAAACCAAACCCAAGAACTGGGACAAGGAATGCTTTGAATCAGGATGACGTTGTAGTGAAGTGTGTCATTCCTCAACAGGCTATACCTTCTTCAACCCTCATCCCACTTCATCCAACTCCACTAAGAGTTTCAGAGCTGTAAGCATCCCCTCACACACATCTGTCACAGTCTAACTGCACCTCCCTCCGCTGGAACATTCCTAGCCTGCTGGCAAGTGGCACTTGGAAAGAGAAGAACTGCTTCTCTTCCCTTGAAAATATGGTTCACTGTAAGTCTCTAAATAAATTTCAAGTGATCTACTTAGAAGTGGCAGCACATAATATACTACATGCACTGCGCTGACTCTCAGGAATGAAAAACTTATTGGACGTACACAACAAACCCTTATTAAATCATTTAAGTGAATGATGCTCATTGTGTGTTTGCCTACATACATAGGAGCTTTGAAATGACAAGTTCAGTAACATATTCTGGTCATAAATATTTCCTTATTCTATGTTCCCATGAGCATAGAATGATACTTAGCAATTTTCTAATCATTTTAGGAATATCCAACAATTGGACAACTTATTGATAAACTGGTACAAAACAATGTGCTGCTGATCTTTGCTGTGACCCAAGAACAGGTTCACTTGTATGAGGTAAGCAAATACATTCTGGAAAATTCCATCAGAGAGATTATGCATCATGAAAGTTGAGCATTAGCTTTATGAGTGTAAGACAGGGAAAGGTCATTAGATAAATATTAACATATTTCAAATATGCTGGACAAAATGGATTCCATTACTTGTTTGCAATTTAAGTGATAAATGCAGAGATGCAAGGGGGCTTGGAGGTGGGCAGGTAAGTATGTGGAGTAAGGAGGAAAGAGTTACAGAAATAAAACAAGTTGGGAAGAGTACAATAAACACTGGGCCACACACATAAAAGAAAAATAGTATCTCTCCTCTTGGAGTATTTCATCTGATGGTGAGGTAGTTGACAGAAGGTGGAGAAAGTCTTGTATATGGGAGGAGAATTACTGACTGTAAATTCCTTGACATTTGCAAATCAGACACAGAAAAATATATGATAGAAGCCCAATTCAGGCAATGAGACGTGGAAAGCAGAAAAGAAAACCTTGCTAAATGGGGCCCCCAAAAAGAGTCTCTCACATAAAGTAGTTGGATTTTTCAGTTCAAGGTTTTGATGGGAAATGTTTCATTAGTTGATGTAATATTTGTGAAGCACTTTGTAAACCGTACAATGTACTTGGGAATTTTAGAAATTGCCATGGTTTCTTTCAGCCTAAGAAAAGCTGTATGTTGAAATGTCATGATCTGGGATACTAGCAAATAATCTCATCTACAGGTTCACAAGAAAGTAAAGAGTCTTTAACAAGTGCTTTAGAAAATGGATGGAAAAGAGATTTAATTTGTTTTTGCCTTCTGTACAGAATCATCAAGTTCTCCTAAATTTGGACTCTAAATTCCCAATCCTCTTGAAAGAACCTTTTCATTTGCTGGGGGACTTTGCAGGGCTCAGGAAACTGTGGGATTATTTCACAGAGGCTTTGATTAAATGCCACTCACTACTAATGAAGACCCAGCTCATGAACTTGCGTCAGGCTCTGTGGAAAGGTTCCACAAGGAGATCCTATCTTACACTGCTAATGAGAGGAGGGCATTGTACTCCCAGGTGAGATTGCCTTCTGCTGAAAGCCAAGGAAGTCCCTTGCAACCAAACTGCATACTCCAAGTCTTTGTTCTCCTCTGAGACCATGAGGTTTCACCTGATCGGAGCACTTTCTTAAGGCTCTTTAGTATGTGATACTTGTTTCCAGTGATTTTAAGTAGTAGAGTTGCAGTAAAGATTAAAAGGGAAAAATATTTCCAAATACAATAGTGAATGTATTCTGCCTTTGATCCTTAAGTAAGAGTGAGAGTGTCCTAGGAGTCACATAACCTCCTCCATAGTCAGGCTCCTATTGAGAAAGAGAGAGAGAGAGAGAGAGAGAGAGAGAGACACGGGGGTGAGGAAGGGAAGAGGGGGGAGAGTGAGACAGAGCAACACAGAGTGACACAGGGAGAGAGGTGGGTACACAGAACTTTTCTTGGAAAGGAAATCTGGGGGATATCAAGAACATAGACCTCTATAACTCTCTTTAGTAACCATCTTTAAGACCCACAATTCATGTCTACACTTCCTACAAACTGCTATTAAAAAGTCAGAGCAAGTTGAAAAATAACTACCTGGTAAAAGAGAACCTGTCGGATTTAAACTAGTTACATCCCCAATTCCCCTGGTGCAAAGGAAATGATGATTTCCAAGGAAAACACAAGATTAGAGTCTGCCCCTAATGTAACAGCAGGACATTTATTTTTCCTGCCTACTACTCTCATTTCAAGGAGAATTTATGTCCTGTCTTCATCTGTGGACTTTTCTATCCAGGCTTCACTAAATTCAAAGGGACTCTCTCAGGGAGCCATGTAGTGGGCCAGGTCAGCAGCCCACTCTGATTGTTTCATTATTTTATTTTTATTTTAACGGCCGTCTCATCATTCCATCTGCATTAGTGAGGCAGGCAGCAGCCTGGTCGAAAGATAATGACAGCAACATTACACTTCCCTGAAGGCTTCACACAGCATGAAAATGCTGATCTCTTGTTTTATTGATAATGAAAACTAAAAATAGACCAATAATGGCTTGTGTTGCTTTTCAATTTAAATCTCTTAGAAGGCACTCTGTGTGCCCAGGAGCCCTGTATGAATTCCTGTTTGGATAGCTGGGATATAAGGAATAGAACTAACAAAAAAATCATTGAAAAGTAAGACCAGTGATAAGAGAAATAAACCAACTAAGTGCTGGCTCTAATGGAAATTGCAGAAGGAAAACAGTTCACCAAACAGTTATGCGTTAAGCATGGACATGTGCCTGCGCGTCGGGAGGGGAATAGGGTAGGTTTAGTGGTGGTCTGTCTAGAAGAGGAAGATTGATGCTGCCCACTCTTGGATGGAAGTAAAAATGACTGTGTTAGGAGATGGGGGAAGGGGAGTGGTTTCCCTTCGGTAATTTTGATAATATATTTTGAACTGCCCAGGTGTGTTTTGTTGTTGCAAATTGCAACAGAAACGAATAATGGAAACTAGTAAAGTAAGCAGTTTGGCTTTCAGTTCAAAACAACTATAATGTGCATCCCAGAATCTGGCAAACAGATGTATTTGAGAAAATATTTTCCCGTTTGTCCAATTATAGAGTTTAAAAGATAATGATAGATAAAAGAGTGAGCAGTAGGTAGTGTATTATGTTCTAGTGCTAAATATCATTGTGAATCAAGATTCAATTACCTGAGGTTAAAAAAAAAATTGGCTCTCCTCTGCTGTTTCTAAATGGTTACTGGTAATTTGCATGAAGATGGTATCAGGCCACTAAGCCCCAATTGTCTAATTTAACTAGTTGCTCCTTCTGAATGAAATATTGAGAGGAAAAAAGCAATTAAATATGTGTTCTTTACTCCATTTTAAAATCAAGTTATTAATCAGCCAAGGTTATTGCCAGATTTTAAAATGTCCTATGTCTTTTCGTAATGTCTACCTCTGACTGGAAAAGATGCTTTGAGGTAAGTTATACAATTATTTTTATAGGACCTAGTATCTGTGATGCAAGGCTGAGTACAGAGGCTAATATGAAGTGACTTGATTAGTCATGGGCATATCCACGTAACTCCCTAACATACATAAGCACTAATTTAGGTCCTGGTGATTTTCAGGACACAGTAATATATCTCAAGCATGAGGACAGGGAACAAAAGCAGTTTTCTATGCTATCAAAGAGATTTTCCTCTGGACACCCACACCCATACCCACAGCCAAAAAGCCACTTCCCCCACGGATTATAATTTTTTTGGAAGAGAATGAACATCTTTCTGTTCTCCCCCAGTGATTAGTACAGAGTAGATTCTCTGAATATTTTCTAATGCACTTTTATAAAACCAAACAAATGCCTCTATAAGTCAAGCACTTCATCTCTTCTTACTCACTCCCTCACTGCCATTGCATTAGAATGACCCACATTGGGTGCCAAGGCTGTAAATACCATGAGAGGAGATTGCCTGTCTTCTTCCTCAGAGCCACTGCTGGTGGATCCGTTCTGCCAGAGAGGTGTGGCCTTTTGGTTAGCAGTGTAACTCCCTACCATCTATGCCCCTAGAGCTCCTTCATCTCTTTTCAAGTTGGGTCAAATGTTAAAATAGAGACTTACACTGTTGTTGTTGTTAAGGGCTGTTGAGTCATAGACGACTCATAGCGACCCTATGAACAAAAGACCTGAACACGTGTAGTGTGGCAAATATATTGAGGGAGCCCAAATACAGCCCCATGCCTGACCCATTGCCACAGACCTCAACAGTCTGGAGCATCCCTTGCTTCATCCTTTCTACTTTGGACACAGATGACACGAGAGAGAAAAAAGAAGCACTTTGTTGTTGTTGTTAGGACCACACTGAGAGAATAGGCTCTTAGGAGATTTTCCTCTAGAATTAAAACATGCATAAGAAATAGCCACAGTGTGCTAAGGACTTGGTGTTCTCAGGTGCCGTGTGGAAATTTTATACCATATGCAAATCTGAATTTGGAAAGGGAATCAATAATGTTTTTTTACTTCACTCTGTATTCCTTTCCTACATCTTCTCTATTCCATTTCTCTTCCAAGATTTTTACTGTTATGAGAGTGAGGGAAGAGAGGGGACAGAGAAAGGAGATAAAATTTAAGTATGAACCCTTTTGCTGTTAGCCTGAACTACTCATTTGTTGTGTAATGCTCACACTTGGGAAAGATCAAAACTGTTTTGTTCAGATGAAAATCACTATCTATCTTGCGGGTTCAGTTTTTACAAAATGAGAAGACTGGGCCCAACGACTTTCAGCTTTAATAATCACTGACGCTGAGGCAGCATGTTCTGTAATGGAGACATGACTGCAAATGGCATACCTCTCAGTGTTTTTTCTACTTACCATTTTTGTTAGAAGGACATTGAATCAATTGGCAATCATCAAACTGCCTTTGATGCTAATAGCAGCCTAATGTTGCACCAAGGCCTTCATTTTGTAGTAGTGAGAAATGAGGGTCAGAAAGGCTATGCGGCTCTGCCTATGATAATAACAAATAAAACTGACTGAAGGCTTATTATGTAGCGGTTGAGAATTTAAATGTTTGATATTCATTTATTATTTAATCTCTGAATTGTGGCTATAGAACCTGAAACATCACAATGAGTTGAATGTGAGAGCCCGGATTTGAACCTGGACCAAGTCTGTAGCTTTAATTACTAAGTTATAAATAAATGTGGACTGCTATGGTGAAAGAGCATGTCAATTCCTAACTACAAGACCATTAGAGAAGTCTTTTAAATGCTTCCTCACAGAAAAACCCAAACTCACAGTCACTGAATTGATTCTAACTCGGAATGATCCTGAGTCTGTAAATTTCTGTAGAAATAGATTGCCATCTTTTGTGTGCAAAGCAGTGGGTGGATTTGAACTGCTGAGGTTTCAGTTAGCAGTTTGATATGTTATACACAATGCTTCTCATCTCTTTTTAAAGAAATTAAATATATTAAAAGTTACTGAGTAGCCACAGATCTATGATCAACTGATATTTTTTA